TACTAAACAGTCTAGTGCTCTGGAAGAAGTCATTTCACTTCTATGGATGATGTTTCCTCACCTGTAAGAGGAGGGGTTGAATTCAATCTCTAAGGTCCCTTTTTACAGTTCTTATAGCCCTTGAAAGCCTAAAGGACTAAAGTCTTTGAGATTAGGGCTATTTAAAAATAACACGAAGAGAAATTTTATCTAAGTTTACTCCAGTGGAGTTTTTAGAGGTGACTATTTCTGGATTATTCAAGGGCTGATTATCCAGTTTGTGGGATTTGGGGGCCATTTTACACTCAAAACTATCTTTGCTTTCCTTCTCCATCTCTGGCTCATTTTATTGCTCTAGAATGCAGAACTGACATAGGGATGTACTATTAGGCTGAGAAAACTCAAATTAACCTAATATTTGTAGAAACTACTATAAAAATCTTGTGGAGTGTTACAAAAGATTTTTACTTTTGTTAACTTAGAACTTGTCTCTCTGGCCTTCCCGCCTCCCCCCCTCCCCCATTAGCAGGGACATTTGAGTTGGCTAATATTGCTAAACTGGTAGAATTTATATTGTTCTAATAACAATTAAGTCACATCGAGTCAATATCTACTATATTAATGCAACCAGGAGCTGTAATTGGTTAGTTTTGGAAAGTAGCCACCTTTTAAATCTGGACAAATTAATTTCCATGTACAAAATAAAACACATTCGGAATGGAATGCCTTACAAAAGTCTCCAGAGGTCAGAATGCAGGTAAAAATTCATTGCTTTGCACCAGTACAAAGACATGCTTTGTTTGGTAAAGTTGTTTCTGGGTCTGGGGAAATGGCTCAGAGTTAACAGTGCTCAAATGATCTAGTTACAAAGAATTTTTTGAGGTGAATAATCCTGGTTATTTTCTCCAGCTGTTGTCCAGGTAGCAGGCACTGATTCTGCGTACTCCAGAGTAGGGGTGTACAGCTAAACTTAACTGTAAACCCTTCCCAACTCCTTTGTTCAAACACTGATCACTTTGTCCCAATCCTTCAAAACATTTGGGCTCACACACACACAATTCATATACCCTAGGAACTCTAGAAAAGTAGAAGGGATGGTATTCTGCCCTCTGCACCCCTCCTTGCCCTAATGAAGTCTAAGCACTTACCTCTTGCTACAGAAAGGCCTTATCTCCAGGTCAAATAAACTGTGAACGTAATTCCCAATATTTTACTATCAGAAATTTCACTAATCAATTAACAAGCATTTGTCAGACATCTATTATATGCCAGACGCTGAATGCACAAAGAAAACAAAAAGTTTCTGCTCCCAAAGAACTTCTGTTCTACGGGGGAAATGCATGTATACACAGGATACAGGATTATCTTGGGGCAGGGCACTAACAGCTGGGGGGGATTAGTAAAGGTTTCTTGTAGAAGACTGACCATGAAATGGGTCTAAAAAAACCTATGGGTCTTAGGGGGATGGAGATATCTCTTCACTAAGGGTACATAAAGATGATCAGTTTACATTAGTATTACATTCTCCTAATTTTTTTTAAGAGGCAGTAAGTAACTTGCCCAGGGTCACAGAGCTAGTGAGTAAATGTCTGAGGCTGAATTTCAACTCAGGTCCTCCTGATTCCAGGGCAGGTGCTCTATCCATCTAGCTGCCCCCTACTGATTAATTTGTGTTTGTAGCATTCCACCTATCCTTTCCCCAAATAAAAACTTAAATGTTGTTTCCAGAATTCAACAAATAATCTGGCAGGGTGATATTTTCTGGAGCAACTATATTTACTTCTTTCCTTTTTCTCCTCATTTTAAGAATTCAGGAAATTCTTTGTAATTTTAATTATGGCCCTGCTTAAACAATAATCAGCACATACTATCAAGTTGTTACATAATTTGGGTGACTTCTCTATGGGTCTCAGTTACAAAATAAAGGAACTTGGTTATATCGGGGATTTATATTTTTTGTACACGGCTCCGTTTTTGGAATGTTTTTAAATGCCTAAAATACACAGAATTACAAAAGAAACCAAACATATTAAAACATAGTTACCAAAATATTAAAAGTTCATAAACCCCAGGTTTTCTCCCTCAGACCACTTTTAGGTCTCTTCTAGCTCAGATGCTCTAGGATTTTAGCCAGAACAAAGGACTCAATCAATGGCACCAGTTAAACTTTCCAGTGACTGTCACCTTAACTGGACCTCCTCTATAAGGCTGGGACTATAGGACTACAGGTGTCATTTCATTAAGGCACGAGGGCAACCCTTGTCCAAACCCAACCCTGCAGAGACACAGATGTTGGAGGAACTGAATTGGGGCTGCATCAGATGCCTGGTCTATCTTGGATTAAAAGGTGCTTAAATTCCAAACTTGAACTTGAAAGGATGTTTTCACAACTTTGCCAATTATTTCCCTCTCCTGTTCTCTGAAACCATAAACATACCTTGTCATACTTGCCAGGGCATGTCCTTATTTAAATGGGCTTTTAAAAACCATCTGGCACAAAGCGAAATTAGACTCCAATTCACTTAGTCACTAATTACCTTGCATCTCTCTCTGGGAGCCATAAAGCAACATTTTTTGATAAATCAGATTAGAATTGGGGTGACAAACTAATGAAGGCTGCTGAGAGAAACGGACCAAAATCTAGAGGTCTACATAATTTGTAGTAGTAACACTTCCTCATATTTTTTATTTTTTCATGCTTGTGCTTCCTGGTTTTCAGTAAGCCAACCATACCCCTTATTTAATACAGAAGTAAATTCTAGTGTTTACTATGCATTTTCACATGAGAAATCAATTTCAACAGGATAATAACATTATCAAATATTTCCCATACCTCCCTAAACAATCTTTTTTGTACTATTTTTTGGGTATGCGTTGTGCCAGTTTGAGAATCTCTGCTGTAGAATTAAAATCAAGGAACAGGGGAAATTATTCAATACAGTATTGTCCGTTAAATTGGCAGACAACTGTAATCCGCTTCCTAACCTATAACCAAAGCAGCAAATATCAGTGTCAATGTAGCCAAGTCAAATCCTTTCAACTTAAATCATGATAGCACAATTTTTAAAAAGGCGTATCAACTGACAAAAAAAAATCAAAGCTACATTTTCATACCCAATAATTCTATTACATCATTCAAAGTCTATTAAATTATGAAAAGGTAAAAAAAAAAAAGGTTGAACCAGAAACCCTCTCATTAAAGCTTTGATGTAATGACAGACAAAAAGAGATAAAACCAAAAGTCTTATCAAGTTTTTATTAAGTTTCTCAAGCGGTAAATGGTGGCATCGAGGTGGCAGATAGTGCCAGGCCTGGAGTCAGGAAGATTCGTTTTCCTAAGTTCAAATTTGGCCTCACATACTTACTAGCTGGGTGACCCTGGGTGAGTCACTTAACACTGTTAGCCTCAGTATTCTGGAGAAGGAAATGGCAAACCACTCCAGTATTTTTGCCAAGAAAACCCCAAATAGGATCACAAAGAATCAGATGTGACTGAACAACAAATGCCTGCAACTCTTTTTCAACTCTGGCCCCAATGCCAAACCCCTCAAGGTGATGCAAACTAAAGGCTGAAGCTTAAATTAAGAACTCATTGTCACTGTCAACAACTTTATAGTTTAATATGGCTGCAAATCCCTTCTAGGTCTCCATTTTCTTATTTGTAATATGGGGTTGTTTCCTTGTTTTCATAAAGATGTGATTCATTTTAATGATGTGATAAATTCACTTGCTTGTGGTATTTTCTGAAAGGGATCAAGTATCTGTTTAGATATCTACATACTTATAGCACCCTTTCCCCTCTTGGCCTCAGCCTCCCCTCCCAAAACATCATTTTCTACGACTAAAGGTTTTACGGGTTTACAAAACAGTGTTTTGTCTATGAGGTTAGTAATGATGATAACCACTCCCTTACCAAAACACAAACTAACCAGGTTATTTAGTGGGCTCCATAAAACTCACAAAGACACCACGTTTTCCGAGTCACAGACCAGTTATCTGGAGAACAATTCTGAGAATTTCAACTTCAAGTTCCTTTATCAGGAAATCTGATCAACTGGAAGACACTCTTTTCATCTATAAACTTATTTCCAAGACAGAATAGGTCTAAGTTCGGTGCCATTCTCAGGAGGTAGAACAATAGGCCTCGGTTAAAGTTAGTTTGTATTCAGACCAATTCTGGTGACATTCTAGCCAGCAGCTACAAGAAATTTTGATCTAGGAATTTTTGTTGTTGCTGTCTAACAGCACTGCTCTTTTCCTTGGGAAGCTAGAGGGGGGAGGGTTAACACCTGGAGTACAGGGATTCTCAACCTTTCTGGTCACGGACCCCACTGCAGTTTTAAATACACAGGATAACAAAGGAAACAAATACTGAAATAGATACCAAAATATTTTTTAAAATTAAGTTTGTGAACTCTAGGTTAAGAACCTTGGAAAAAAGGGTCCTCAGGCTGAAGTAGAACCAAGATCCTTGTGACCGGCCTGAGATCTTAGCACTCAAAACTCAAGTCAGTTTAATATTCATGTTTGTAAGGGCCAGCTAGGTGGCACAGTGGATAGAGCACTGGCCCTGAAGTCAGGAGGACCTGAGTTCAAATCCGGCCTCAGACCAAACACTTGACACGTACTAGCTGTGTGACCTTGGGCAAGTCACTTAACCCCGATTGCCTCACCAAAAAAAAACAAAAACAAAACACAACACCAAAAACAAAACAAAAAAAAGTATTCATGAAACTAATTTTTCTACTTCAACATAGCTTTTTTTTTTTGGGGGGGGGGGGTGTGTATAGAGGGATGGTATCATTGTTTAAGAACCAGCATATTCACTTTAGGCTCACATTTAGGTCAACATCCTACAGGCCAGGGGCAGGGAATACAGAATACATTATTATCACCCAAATCCTCAAGTTTCCTTTAGGTACTTTCACTTCAAGATTGATTCCTCCTACTTTTCCTCCCCATTCCATAAGTCTGTAGGAGCAATTCTTGTAACAAATAAACAAACGCTTCCTAGAAACGCGTAGGTTATTAAATAATTTGTTTATTGTATTGCATTTACAAAGAAAACAGACAGTGCACCCAAGTAGAAAGAATAAAAACGTATTTTCCTTCAGGGTTGTTGTATTGTTGCTTTTTACTGACAGCAAGTACAAATCCTTTAGTGAGCATTTTATGGCAATTTCAACGTAGGATGAAAGCTCAAGAGGGCAAGCCCAGGGGCAGCTGGAAGACTGGATTCTACAGGTGCCTCTTGTCTTCTAGTCCATCTGGTTCCCTAAGTGAGTCAGTGGAAAAAGCCCTTATTTGGTAGGGAAACATTTCAGAGATTAAGTTACAGGACTTACCACCATGATAATAAGAAGTTATTCCTTTTGCATCAGAATTATTTCTTTTATATCAGACTATCTGTTGAAAAGGAATGACTACAGTTTTCCTTCCTCAACACCACCACCAGAAATGCCTTTAACCCTACTATTATGGCTTAATGGCATTTAAAGAAATATAACTTGAGTCCTAGTTTATCATTACTAAAAATATAGATAAACCTGGCAATCCAGGGAAAAATTAAGTTACTGAAGGATTTCCCTGCCATTATAAATGCTTAGTGAGCTTTATTATTCTCTTTATTCTTCACAGATATACACGGGTAGCCTGGCCCAGAAATCCCCTAGAGAAAGAACACCATCTGATCTCATTAGTATCACCAAATCAAGAATCTGATGAATAGGCTAGCCAGACAAGGACATGTAGGGAACAGTGCTTACATATTACATGGATCACATAGTGGCATCACCAATTTCCTTGCCATTAGATTCCAAACTCAAGGAAAACCAAGCAACAGTCTTGTAACAGTCTTAACAGTTCTAAAAACATTTTCTCTCAAGTTACACTTGTTTGGCTTTTTCTAAATTCCATAGTTCCGAAGCAGGATCCATCCTCTATGAGGGCATTGATTGCCAAGGCCCTTTGGTCCATAATGAGGAAGAGTTGCTGTGATCCCAATCCTACTGAACTTTGGCTTTTGGTTATGACTCATAATATAAGGGGGCAAATCTGGGAGACCCATCTTTAAACTAGCAAATTCTACGAAAGGTTTTAACTTTTCCTTGTAAAAAAAAAAAACCAAAAAACCAAAAAACCAACCCCCCTCCCCCAAGCCTTAAGTATATCCCAACCTACACTCTAATGAGCAACCACCTGTATGCTGATACTAGAAAATAGCAGCAGAGAATGGCTATCTTTTTTTGGGGGGTGGGGGTGGGGTGGGGGAGAATAAAGCCACACCTTCCCCCTCCTGGTTCTTGTGTATTTGGATTATGCCTAAGCATAATGCCAAACCTCTTAAGAAAAAGAAAAAAGCAAAGCCAAATGGGGAAATGGACTTCAAGGCCAGAACCTCGGGTAAATTAATATTGATGAAAGATTGAAAGTACTTCTAAGGAATTGTTTGCAAAAGAATCAGAAGCTCTGGGTGACATATTTTTCACTTCTCAGACACAAAGGACCTAATACCTAGAGCTCTTTCATAGTCATCCTGTATTCTTTAGCGATAGGGTGGGGGGTTTCAACTCAAGCAGAACGAGTAAAGTGCCAGCCAGGGTTTTAAAAAGCAATCAAACCAATACCCCTACCCTCCCCCCTTAAAAAAACACCCCCAAACCAAAACCCTCTGCTCTCAGGAAAGCAGAAGATGTGTAAGGAAACACTGCTTACAAAAACCACTGCCTGTCTGGAACCAAAGGGCACACCTGCCTTTGGAAAGGATTTCTAGTCAAAGGTTCCAGTTTCAGCTTTCCATTTCCACTGTATCTATTACAGTCATACCGAAGATCCCGGCATAAGAGAGTTAAAGTTACACCAGTAAATATGGAGACTGAACAGTACTAAAACTCGGTCTTGATTGATGTAGCCCATTTCAAAGATAGAAGCCAAAAAAGTTGCAGGAAAAAAAATGTGACTGTAAGGAATAACACCAACCATCCAGGAATAGGATGCACTCTTAATACAGCACATTCAGTGTCTTTGCTGCACATCAAATTACACCTTTTTCTCATCCTTCTGCTGGCAATAGAATATGCACTAGAAAATTTGACTCTTAGAGTCAGTGAGTTAAGGATGGGCTCACACATCTTCGTTGCGCTCTTAAAAAAAGGAAGCTTATAATTTAAAGGAGGATGTTCTAATGGAAGTGAGAAGATGATGGGCAGTTTCACATTCCAGTCCGTTAGTCTTTGGCAGAGCCCAACCAAGGCAAAACTCACTCAGGATGCCCAATGGCTGTGGGGAATTCCCACAGAGTCAAGTAAGCAAACCCAAATGAACATATTGGATTAAAAAATAACAATAATCTAGGAAGCCTTGAAGGAAGAGCTTCACCCTGAAAAGGGAAAGGAGAATGTTTGAAAGGGACAGGAAGAGGATTAAGGATGGTAAAGAAAGGGAAGGAAGGGGAGAATCTGGAACAGCTGGGTCAGTGTATAATCTCTGCTGCAAACCAGAGTCCAGAGGATTATGATGTTAGGTCAGTGACTTTAGGAGTTAAGCCAGGGGTGCCTGAGACACTCTGCTGCCGTAGCTCTTTTCTCAGGAATCAGCTCCAACATTGGCAATAAGAAATCTGTGAAGCCTGCTGCTTCTTCTTGAGACCACTCATACTTCTCCACTAGAACTTCAAAAAGGCCCCAAGGCTTCAGTTTAGTGATGTGTTTCAGGTCACCTGTGGGAAAAAGAGAATAAATGAAAATGACCAGTAAGTATGGATAGACAATGTCATATTTTCATGTAAACCCACTTTTCAATCCTGGCAGAAGCTACTAAGAATGCTGTAGGCATTAGTACTTTTAAAAAATAGCAAGAATTTAACCTTTCCACAATAGCAAGCATATCTCCTTTATAAAACATACACATAACTTTCAATGCCTTCTGTGGAGGAGCTCACGTTTTTAATGAGCATCCAGAACTCACTAAGTCTTGTACTCTTTTTTTTTTTTTTTGGTCTCTTCTTAAACATCTTCAACTAGTCAGAGGAATCATATTAGTTTGTGATAAGCATTAATTCTCGTTTTATAGCACACCTAATTTGGTCCACTAAATCGCCAAGATCTGCATTTTGGTATAAGCATTAATTACGTGTCAGGCACTGAGGATACAAACACTTAAAGCTGTCCCACTGAAGGTAAGGACATAAAAATGTTTTGTTTTCTTTCTAACTGTTAACCACAAGACCACCTAACAGTCTTGAGAGGCAGAGCTAACAAAATCTAAAGAGCTTTGCCCGCAAAAGAGCTATGGGTTTTCACAAACCGAAGGATTAATAAGTCAGTGATAGCTAAAAAAGTTAATGTGCTCTTTGGCCTAAGAAAGGCATGGCATAATTTCTAGAAATAAAGAAATGCTAGTCCTACTATATTCTACCCTGCTCAGAAAATGTCAGAAGGGCCCTGTTCAGTCCCAGGCACTACATTTTAATAAGGATGTAGAAAAGTGGAAAGCACCCAAGATGGTGAAACACCTCAAGTTCATGCCTTATGAGGGCCAGCTGAAGGAAATGGTGTTTTGCTAGCAGATTAGACTAGAAGAAGGGGGAGAAAAAGAAGGGAGAAACAAGGTAACTATCTTCAAATATTTCAAAGGCTGTCAAACGAAAGACTTAAGACTATTGGTCTGATCCCAAAGGTTAGAACTGGAAACAATAGGCAAAAGTTGTAAGAATGCAAAAATTTAGGCTTGAGGTAAGCAAAATCTCCTCAAAATAATTTGAGCTTTTCTAAGTAAAACGGACTGCTTTGGAAGATAATGGGTTCTTCCTTTAGGAAAGCACTAGATGAACACTTAGCAGGCAAGTTCTGAAGGGAGAGGGAGGAAGGGAACAAACATTCACAACCGCACCTACAAAGGGCAGGGTACTGGGCTAGGTGCTTTACAAATATCTCAAATGATCTTCACAACAGCCCTGGGAGATAGGTGCTCTTATTATCGCAGTTTCATAGTTGGGGAAATTAAGGTAGATAGAGTTGAAGTGATTTGTTCAGGGCCACACAGTACTTAAGTGTCTGGGGTTACATCTGAACTGAAGGTCTTCTTGACTTCTGATTAGTTTTTCAAGTATAGGTTGAACTAGATGGCCTAGAGGTCCATCCCAACTCTGACATTCCGTGTTGATATGAATATATTGTTCCTCCCCCTAGCTCTTTTGCAGAGTGGGGAATGGAGAGAAGGCCAAGACAGAGAAAATGGAAGGATACAGGAGGAAATTTAGGTAATGCAAAAACAAAAACTTATTTAAAAATTATATATAGTTCAGTTACATCTGTTCTAATACTCTGGGGCTCAGAATATGTCACATTAATACAAAGCTTCCTTTAAAAAAAAAAAGAATTGCTAATTTGCATAAAAACTGCTAAATTTTCAAAAAAGGAAGACAACAAAATAAGATCCTACAAGATTTATTTTACAGCATGCCATCCAATTCTGCAAGTTAAGAGAAATGTTAAATTAATCTTCTCTTTAAGGCACATTTTCCACATGCAGTAGTTAATTTTATATTGCTTTGGGGCTTCTTCCTCCAATCTTGTTTCCAATTTTATCGTCCTACAATAATACTATTTACTAACTTGATCTGATGATCTCTTTCCTTCCCTGGATAAGTGGTATTTACTTAACTATTTGCTTGTCATTATACATTTTCTATTTACTATTATTCTTTGCATGAAGTAAGGAAACCCTCTGAAAGTCCATTTAACTAATATCAAAAGACTACATTTTAGAGATGGAACAGGGCTCGAAGACTTGCCCTACTTCGCCCTGAACATTTTACAGATGAAGAAAGTGAAGCCCAGGGAGAGGAGGTGACCAGTTCAGGTCCTACAGCTCGTCAATAGCAGAGACATGAAGGAGCTTCAGATCTCCTAGGCCACTGCTGTTTCTACTCTGCCACACTACTTGAGGGACATTTATTATCAGCAATGGAGGCAACTGTAGGAAGAGATCAGAGGACAGGAGAGATAAATTATCTCTCCCAGAGACAGATCTGTACTTTTCCTTCTTTTGTTTAAAGTAAATTTCTAAACTTTCACACACATGTAATACACATTCAGTTGTAACTACAGCATTCAAAACAAATTTCCAACTTTTTACATCATACACTCCTGGCATCCAGCACCCTCCCCCCCATTTAGTATAAATGACAGGTGACCATGCCAATACACATTACCTCCAAGCTAGCAGTCACTTATACACAAATTATCATCTCTCCACTGAGGGAAGAGGAGAAAAGTATTCAGTATTACCATTATTTTCTGATAAATTAAATTCCCCAAACTTGAAGCTTAAGGTTAGAGGTTCGAAGATCTGGAGCTCAGAGGGTCCTTGGAGATCATGTGGCTCAATGTACGTATTTTACAGAGCAGGAAGCTGAAGTCCAGCATAAGCACAGTCCTCTATACTGGCCCTCTCCCAACAGGCAGGAACTTGACAGAGTTGCTCCTTTGACCCAAAGTTTCCTGGGGGGGTGGTGGGGTTTACTCACCTCTTGGGTTTTATTAAAACATTTTCCCCTAGTGTCAGGGGATTAAACAATTCACATGTCTTTTACCTTTTTTGGTGAAAAACTCCTTGGAATATTTTCCCGCCACAATGAGCTTGCGAGGCACCTTCCCCAGCAGTTCTATGATCAATGCAATGTGATCTGTGTGTTCCAAGCATTTTAAGAGGAAAGAAAAAAACATCCGTAACAGGGCTAAGGCTGACCCACTTGCTGCCAACCAGCAGATGCAGCTCTGGAGAACCGTGGAAAGAGCGGCATGCACACCTCTATACTTGGCAGAGTTCTAATGCCCATTTTCATCTGTCAATGTGAGGGAAGGACTCGATCCAGCTGATGGAGAGACCTAAGAGCCACACTGCTAGGTACCCATGTCGGGCGCCCTGGCTGTTGGCTAGTATGACACCTGGGTGCAAATGCTCTGCTCCCCACGGCTGTACGTCCCTGACGCCTGCATGGAAACTAACATGATTCAATACTACCTCTGCGATTGAAGAAGTCCTGTGAATATTTCCCATTGAGGGCAAAGCGTCTTGGAATTCTGCCTATCAGCTCTATAATATGCGCAATGTGGTCTAAAACAGAAGGGCAAGAAGAACAGCATCAAGGGCAAGCTGAGAATAAGCTTTACTCTAGAGTCACTTTTTCCAAGGACTATTGCAAGTAGCTACAGAACACACGCTGGGGATGGGGACCAAACACACAGTAACTGGCAAACCAGGACCACTTTTTATTGGCGGGGGGGGGGGGGGGGGGGGGGG